TTTATTATTTTTTTTATCTGGTTCATATTTTTGTTCGTTTGGTTTGTAATTCCACGAGTGTTGGGAGCCACCATACGACAATGGAATGGACTGGTCTAGCTAGCGGTTCGCGTGCAACGCCAAAAATAAAATGTTAGAACACTGTAACAAGAGAGAAATCTAACAGGATTAGTAAATGAAAAAGTGGCTACTGCCCACAACGAAACCCAAAAGAGTAAATATCATGAAAAATGAATGTAACGTGAGAAAAGACATGAAGGTATAAGTAACTGTTGTAATTAAAAGCGTTTAGTTAACAAATTCACAGTATCGTTTAGGCCAGTGTACACGCCGACCAGAGCGTATAACCGGTGCTTTACTTGTCTCATCCGCAGAACTGCTAGGTTTAGTAGGATATTCGACAATCGAACTTGGCTGGGGTGTGGGTGCGGGCGTAGTTGCTGGTTGTGTAGGCGTGAGGGGTACAGATTCTTCAATGTAGGCCGCTTTAAGTCTGTCGACACTTACGGTGTCTTGACGGCCAAGTCGATCAATAACAAAAAATTTTTCTTTCCTACTAACGACCTTGAATGGTCCATCATAAGGAGGTTGTAACGGTCTACGAACGGCGTCGCAACGCACAAAAACGTGGGTACAGTCATCGAGTCTAGCATCAACTTGCACTCTCTTGTTTTGTGTGCGTGTGGGAGTTGGTTGCAGGCGCTGCATAAGGCGCTTGAGGTTCTTAGCATAACAATGTACATCCGTAGCACTTGTCTCACAAATTTTCACGTGAGATAATTCCACCAGGTAGACGAAGGATGGTAGAATTTTTGTCCAACCCTATCACATACAGTGGTTTGAAATCTATGCCTACATTACCAAAGCTGTGTTGCTTTCGAGACTTCGTACACACTTATCAACTCTTTACTGCTATCATATGCATATCTGGCAGCGGTGCAAACTCGCCCACAGATTCCCAACGTAGTGTCAGGAAATTACATTAAGGTGGTAACTTCTATTGATCTAACGACCTTCCTGCAATGGTGAGACTTGTAGGATGATTATTTCCTGCCAGTGTTGTAGCTTGTCGGTTCATTGGGATATGCAGGCCCGACCATTATGTCAAGATACCAGCTATCAGTCGGGATTAAGTCTCTAAAGAACCGTAAATTTCGATTTCGAAGGTTGTTTGATTAATTTGATATGATTATGAGCCATAAATTGTGCTTGAAATATCACCTAGTGAACATTGTGTCAATTAAATCAAATAACTCACATGAGATTATGCTATACCTGAATGTAGATGTACTACTGTTATATCGTGTTACATTTTCATGCAGCAGTTTGACACCTTGTAATGTTTGCCGATTTTTGTTCCACCTAAATAAATCATAGTAAAATCTGAATATTAAAATCTGTAAAGATAGACATTAAGCAGTTAATGCATTTCAACATCAAAAACAACAACAACTTTATTGATGTGGTTTCATGCTTTGTGTACAATGAACAGACCTACTGAATTTAACATTATTTTGTTGTTGTTTTTTTTTTTGTTGTTTTACTCCTGATTGTGATGCGTTTTTCAGCCGATTGTTTCTCTCACTGAAGATGATGAAGAAATATCTCCTGATTTGAGCGATTTACTTCCAAAGATTCGTAAGATTATAGATGTAAGTTGTTCATTCTTAATTAATTTCTTTTTATGCCTGATTATTTAGCAAAATATCATGAAACCTGTTGATCCCGAGTTATGTCAATTGTTAAAGTTATTGAGTGAAGGTCTGAGTATTGCTGACAGACAGGATGGATTTTCCAAGTATTTACGTGATCAAGAAAAAATGCATCTACCAGCCTCATCTACATCACACAGGTTAGTTGAAGTAAATTTAACGTATATATATATCGTGTTTTTTTCTTCTTCTTCAGAGAAATCATGGAGATTGTTAGTTCATTGAATGTATTTTTGGCTAAGCTGACTTTAACTGCTGACACTGTTGACTAAATGGTAACCCTGTTTTTTTCGAAATTATTTATTGAGTGATTTTACAGAAAAAACAAGACATTGATTCACAACCATGATCTAAATACTCAACCCTCTGAAGATATTAATTTTGATGGATAAGAATCTGAAGGCATCTGTAAAGCGCCATCCATGTTCCGGAGGTGTGTGTATCTGTGTGTGTTTGAATCTAAAAGTGATTGAATTTCTGTAATTGTGTACATAAATAACAGCGAGGAAATTACACAATGGAAAGTGAAAAATTCGATTTACAGTGAAAGCAGCAATTTAATACCCTTTTTGAATAAAATGGAATTTTATACTGAGTTATTACTTTTTTCCTCTCAAACTATTATTGACATAATTTGTGTTGTCGCTATGTGTATGTTTACAGCCTGAAGTCGACAGTTACTGTAGTCCATAACATATCAGTTGGACAAAGTCAACATAGGTAATGAACTACTAAAATAGAGTTGGGGACTGACAGATAAGCAGGAAGAATTTGTCCTGAATTGGACTGAATTTTTTAAAAAAAACGTAGAACTTTGTATAAAAGTGCGGTAGTTTAGTCATCTAGAATTTATATTAGTTAGTTTACTTGCTGTATGCAAGATATTAGTGTTTTTATCTCTCCTATTATTTAGCCGCCACTATCATACTAGTTAGAAATTGATGTTTTTGTTGTACTTGTTCGTTTAAGTGGTGTTTACATGCTGTAGTTTATTTCTTTAAATTCTAAGTGGAACATAGGGTTTCAGTGTTTTCTTGAGCTTTGTAGTTTCGATAGCAGTGGTGTTATGTTTACGTGGTGGGAGGTTGCTAGCCTCACCTGATATATCCTATACCAGCTAATATTTCCCGTCGAGGAACGCGATGTTTAGTATGAAAATCTGGAAAGGAGACAGTGGTGGTCAAACCGAATCGTGCCATCAGTCAATGAAATCCACAACAGTTAGTTTAAGCCAGTCACGTAAGAAGGCGTAGACTGCTGTCTGGTTGGATTCCTCGGGACGGTAAAAGTTAATGGCTGGAGACAATTTGTGATATGGTTCAAAATCGTTGTCAGTGATGTAGACGCATCCACTTCTTGTGACTAATAATATCCATTATAACTACATTGTTCTTCTAGATTACTATTCTTTTTCCCTCATATCTCTGTTTTGCATTTTTTTCACTTTCTTCCCTTGCTTTGTGTACCACATGGAGTGTGGCGATTAGAACTGCTGCACATCGGTGCAAAGTTCTACGTTGAAACCAGTTAGTTACTCGTCATTGTGCTCATATTCCATAATGAATTTAATGTTTGGGTGGACCTCACTAAGGCGGTCACATAATATGGATGCCTGACTCATGGCGATACAAACAACAAACGCATCATCGACATATCGGCGATAGTATGTTGGTTCACTGTTTGCATCACTCAGTCGTGTCTTCAATTCTGACTGAGGCCGCTAAGTCAACTAAACCTGATATTTTCGGTTACAGTGCTTAGGGAATTTTATGTATTGTTAGTGTTCGTAGTGAATCGAGAGTCAATAGCATCTAACAAGATTCTGTCAGACGATCACTTAAATGGATTTAATGTCAATCAATATAAGAAAAAGCATTGGAGGCGGCATGAAACTACTTCAAGCGTTGAAATAACTTGTGGTAATGAAGAAACACACAAGTCGTAATAACCTCGAATGCTACTTCCTTGTACACCTTCATTAGGTGACACAAAGCAGACATCATAAGATAATATGACCCTTACTACTTAATTACAAAAGATTAAAACCATTTTCCGGAAAAAAAAACTAAATTAACGAGGTCAATTGGTACTATTGAATTATGATATGTAAAACGTATCAAGCTTTGCCTCCCGGTATAGGCTAAACAACTATTGCAACAACAGAAGACAAGAGCCAGGCAACTGATCATCTATACGTCAACTGTATCCGCCTACTCAAATTCTGCTGTGGTCGGTTTTTGAATCAGTCTTGTTCATATTTTCTCATGACCAATCTTGAGAACGTAAACATTGACGTAAATTACTATCTACCAATTTGGCTAGTAGACAGCTCTCAACCACACTATTACCTCTTATCAACACAGTCGACTAATCTTAGTACCTAGGCGCTACATGTTTTGCAGTGGCTAGAAATGAAACCTAAGACAATAGTTTCGCTCTTTCTAAAATCTTTCGGATCACAACAAACGAGGTTCCCACTGAGACCAGTAGGCAGACATATCATTCCAAACCTCAAAGTCTTCCTGTTGAAGCTACTGAACCACAAGAATTACCCTTCGGGCAGCGCATACCATTTGACGTTTTTCGTAATGCCTGTAATTAATCGTCAACCCCTTTGAAGTGAATTAGTTCACCAACTTTATAACAGTATGTGCTGCGTTGTCCGCGGTTCAGCAATAGGATTTTTGCCAACCAAGCAAGTGGTCCGGCGTTCAATCCTTAACCGATGCACTTCAGAAACCTCGCTAAGTCGGTAGTGTAGATCAGTAAAGAGTGAAAGTTGGATATGAGGCTAGCAACCTCCCACCACGTAAACATAACACCACTGCTATCGAAACTACAAAGCTCAAGAAAACACTGAAACCCTATGTTCCACTTAGAATTTAAAGAAATAAACTACAGCATGTAAACACCACTTAAACGAACAAGTACAACAAAAACATCAATTTCTAACTAGTATGATAGTGGCGGCTAAATAATAGGAGAGATAAAAACACTAATATCTTGCATACAGCAAGTAAACTAACTAATATAAATTCTAGATGACTAAACTACCGCACTTTTATACAAAGTTCTACGTTTTTTTTAAAAAATTCAGTCCAATTCAGGACAAATTCTTCCTGCTTATCTGTCAGTCCCCAACTCTATTTTAGTAGTTCATTACCTATGTTGACTTTGTCCAACTGATATGTTATGGACTACAGTAACTGTCGACTTCAGGCTGTAAACATACACATAGCGACAACACAAATTATGTCAATAATAGTTTGAGAGGAAAAAAGTAATAACTCAGTATAAAATTCCATTTTATTCAAAAAGGGTATTAAATTGCTGCTTTCACTGTAAATCGAATTTTTCATTTTCCATTGTGTAATTTCCTCGCTGTTATTTATGTACACAATTACAGAAATTCAATCACTTTTAGATTCAAACACACACAGATACACACACCTCCGGAACATGGATGGCGCTTTACAGATGCCTTCAGATTCTTATCCATCAAAATTAATATCTTCAGAGGGTTGAGTATTTAGATCATGGTTGTGAATCAATGTCTTGTTTTTTCTGTAAAATCACTCAATAAATAATTTCGAAAAAAACAGGGTTACCATTTAGTCAACAGTGTCAGCAGTTAAAGTCAGCTTAGCCAAAAATACATTCAATGAACTAACAATCTCCATGATTTCTCTGAAGAAGAAGAAAAAAACACGATATATATATATACGTTAAATTTACTTCAACTAACCTGTGTGATGTAGATGAGGCTGGTAGATGCATTTTTTCTTGATCACGTAAATACTTGGAAAATCCATCCTGTCTGTCAGCAATACTCAGACCTTCACTCAATAACTTTAACAATTGACATAACTCGGGATCAACAGGTTTCATGATATTTTGCTAAATAATCAGGCATAAAAAGAAATTAATTAAGAATGAACAACTTACATCTATAATCTTACGAATCTTTGGAAGTAAATCGCTCAAATCAGGAGATATTTCTTCATCATCTTCAGTGAGAGAAACAATCGGCTGAAAAACGCATCACAATCAGGAGTAAAACAACAAAAAAAAAAACAACAACAAAATAATGTTAAATTCAGTAGGTCTGTTCATTGTACACAAAGCATGAAACCACATCAATAAAGTTGTTGTTGTTTTTGATGTTGAAATGCATTAACTGCTTAATGTCTATCTTTACAGATTTTAATATTCAGATTTTACTATGATTTATTTAGGTGGAACAAAAATCGGCAAACATTACAAGGTGTCAAACTGCTGCATGAAAATGTAACACGATATAACAGTAGTACATCTACATTCAGGTATAGCATAATCTCATGTGAGTTATTTGATTTAATTGACACAATGTTCACTAGGTGATATTTCAAGCACAATTTATGGCTCATAATCATATCAAATTAATCAAACAACCTTCGAAATCGAAATTTACGGTTCTTTAGAGACTTAATCCCGACTGATAGCTGGTATCTTGACATAATGGTCGGGCCTGCATATCCCAATGAACCGACAAGCTACAACACTGGCAGGAAATAATGATTCTACAAGTCTCACCATTGCAGGAAGGTCGTTAGATCAATAGAAGTTACCACCTTAATGTAATTTCCTGACACTACGTTGGGAATCTGTGGGCGAGTTTGCACCGCTGCCAGATATGCATATGATAGCAGTAAAGAGTTGATAAGTGTGTACGAAGTCTCGAAAGCAACACAGCTTTGGTAATGTAGGCATAGATTTCAAACCACTGTATGTGATAGGGTTGGACAAAAATTCTACAGTTCAAAATAATTCAGCGGAGAGTGATAGAACACCGAATTTTTGTGTCTTAAATCAATACCGAATTCGTACGACCGGAATAAGATGTATCCATAAAAGTGGAGGAACGAAGCATTAAGCGAATGAATTTCCACACAGAAACTTGCACAGAAGTGCAGCAGTTCAAGTTGTCACACTTTATGTGGTAAGCAGAGATTGAGGAGACAGAAAAGAAATCCAAAAAGCTAATAGGTAGAAATGTACGAGGGGATAGAAGCTTGGTGAAACATGGAGGTTTAATCGGCATAGAAAGCCAAAAAGAATCAATGCATCTGCGTCAGTGAGAAGCATTCTGAGTTATATCACCGATAATCTGCAGTCACCGGTCCTAAGTATCCCGAAGACTTTGTCAAGCCATCCACAAATCCCTATGTGGTGCGAATTACATTGATAACAAGTTTTGCGTTGACTGTCGTTAACTCTTTGTCAATACAACCGTCACCTAAAATTGCTTGTCGAGGAAGACGACGCTTCGACATGCGCTGCACATATCCCAGCCTTCTCAATCGACTTATCTTCACAACCTCATAGACTGATTCACCGTTCCTAACTAACACCACGCCTAACTTCAATATTACACACCATATTATACCACTTAACACAGGAGATAGAGCGCAAACATCTCTGTTCAAAGACAGCTAGCCTTCTCATATCTTCCACCTTCCTCAGCCATATCCTACAGCAATAAAGCAGGATAAGGTGAATCGCTGTGCAGTGCACATGTCATTGTAATTTCCCATATCTAATAAACCCTTATGTTTCACCGTGCTACTGATCTTTCTCTGTCAATTTCCTGCTTACTATAGTCATTTCGAACTTTTTCTCTCTTCATTTATTCTGTCTTTGTGTGATTCATGGTGTGAAAGACGGACATCACGTCCACGCCAGAAATGACGTCAGTTGGCAAATTCAACACGAGCCTTTTATGAGTACTGATAGTTCGTGAACAGTGGGTCTGCTCGGGTTGATACAACTTCCCACATAATCGAAGTAGTCAACACCCTCTACGGCTACACGCTGCCTTTAAGCTAGGAGTAGGCGCAGTCTAGTCCCCGAGTATTATCTTCCACTAGACAGGAGCCACTCGCATGCCAAACATTCAAAGAATTTTGCCAAAGGTATCCGGAAGACTGCACTTTGTCAAAGTCTTCACTTGGAAGGACAACATCATCCCCTTCCTCTAAGTCGACAGGATCATGTCCTTGTAACAAGTCAATCCCTGAGTCCTTGAAGTCAATTAGGGTGAGTTAACCCTAGTACATCTACGATGAAATTAAATATGAATGCAGATAGTGGACATTCCCCAGGTTCTGAAATCTACTGAAGAGTGAACCTAGCACTTAAGATACTATATTAGCCAATCTAATTCCCCGGTGATTATCACAGGCAGACTAGTCTCCCTCCTTATAAACTAGGATATACAATCATTTGCATTAATCTGGCAGAACCGCTTCTGATTCTCAGACATTCCCAGACAGTTCGTCACCTTTCGAATCATTCGAACATATCCTGCTGCTCTGTTTCGCTTAAGATTGCAGATGACCCACGAAACCACAGTTGTAATTGGAGGACTGATGTCCGGTAACTTTCGCTTATGTCTGGAGCAGAAATCAGTTTTTTTTTGAATCTATTGGTCTAGATGAAGTAACAGAAATCCCCTGGCATTTACTAACGTTTGGTTTCACCTTTACGTAAAGGTATAACAATGTTTCTATAGAAACAGCTGTATACAGCTAACTGATCAGTCAGGTGGCATAAGCTAACTGGCTTGATGTTCAGACTTCTAAAATCATCAGTAACAAATTCGCTTTGAAGTAAGTGAAACGAAGAGTGAGTTATATACACAACTACACTTTATGCGTAATGCAAATGTACATTTCTACCACTCCAGGTAGCAGTTACTGACAGACTTACTTTGGTAATGCTATCTGGTTCTCGAGAACTAGACCTTTCAGTACGATCAGTTTCCAGAACTTCATCTAAGAAGTCGAACTCTTCCCTCAAGAATAGGTCGTCGTCCATCGCGGTAGACTCAGCTAAGGGGTCAAAGGGATCACTCATTGACTCACCCTGATCCATTGCCATCCAATGCCCTACTCATAGTCACGTAAAAGTCAATACACGCTCTCTAATGTCCAATATCCAATATCCTGATTACGAGCTAGTATAAACCAGTGATTTCTTTGAGCTCGCTTCTTGATTGTAAGGTAGAGGTTCCAGGTCTTTGGTGAACTTCTGCACAGTAAGTCCCACCACTCGACTGCTTTAGCTCTGGTAGACTCCAAGAGGAGTGGTTCGGGGATTGGTCAAAATGTGGTTTGTAGTATGCAGTATGTTAGGACTGTGTTGCTGTCGTGAATGGAGTTTGACCTAACTCCCGTTGGTCACTCGGTGTAGTCATAAAAGCAGAATAGTAATAATAATAATAGGTTGTAGTGTAGATAATATAGGTTGAGATAAGTGAAATAATAAAGGTGACCTAAGGGAAAGATAGAGTAGTTGGTACAGTGAGAGAAGACAGAACGGGTCGTGGGGATTTAGTTTGTATGCCTATCCATTGACAGTGCGGTTTTAAATTTTAAGAGGATAAGCCATTGAGACACAACCTTGCATTTCTGCATGATTGTCCAGCTTCCGCTTAAAAGTCCCCACAGATGGTGTTGTAGTCACAGCCGCCGGTAAAGCGTTCCAGAGACGGCAAACTCGAAGCAAAAAGAAGTGTGAACGCACTCGAGTCTTTGGTTTCTAGTGTGCTATCATTAGCGGGTTACCTCGTGGAAGCCTATAATCACTTAATGGCAGGATGCTTTTATTTGGGTGGGCCTGGTAATTTAAGATCTTGTAGATAGTGATGAGGTCTCCCCTGTGACTACGGTAGCCAAGCGTGAAAAGACTTAATTTCTTCAGTCTTTCCTCGTATGATCTGTTGTGGAGGCCAATCACCTATTTTGCCGCTCGTCTCTGGACACTTTCTAGAATGTTAGCATCCCTTTTGAGTAGCGGAGGAGCAATGATATTATGCACCTCAAGGTGTGGCCTCACGTATGTCTTATACAACCTTAAGAAAAACCTTCGCCCGGTACGTTCAAATCAGGTGACGCTTTTGCACGTGTTTTCGTTTATATTCATTTATTGCTTACTGTTGATTGATCTTTAGTAACAATGGGCCGAAATTCTAAAATGAGTGTTCGTGTGAACACCAGTAATTTAGAAAATAGCACCAGCTCGTCTAATAACACATTACCACCCTTTATTATCAGCAGTTCACCCAACATAAAAGACTCGAACATCACTCTGACCCTTGTAATACAGGTGGAAGATGTTCTGTCTGAAATGGTAGAGCTCTCTTACTTAACATGCATTATTAAGGAGATGCAGCTACAGACAGATGATGTAAAAACGAAATTAAGTTCATTAGAATGTATACCCGAAACTATCTCACTTATGAAAAAGGAACTGCAGGATCCTACAATCCTAAAGCTTTTTGTTATGACTTCTAGAATGACGCCTACTGACTCAAAGAATGCGAAGGAGTTAGAAAACGCCATTGACTTTCTATCCAGCGAAGTTGTTAAAAGGCTGGCTTCGAAACAAAACGCTATAGTGTATAATGTACCAGATAGCGAGCCCATAAAGTCGGTCCAGCACTCATTGCTGAAGGCTGCAAATCTCTTGAGTGCACCTTGTCAGTGCATTCGCCTAAGTAAAAAAGACCTAAAGCATCCATGTCCCATACTCTTTAGGTTCGACAGCTACATAATAGCTGAACGATTTAAGAAGGCTGAAGATCTTCTGGCTACTGCCACTAAATTCAAGACTATTAAAGTAGTCTCGGATAAAACACCTAACCAAAGGCAAGCAACCAAGAACTCCTTCGATACAAATGTGACCACACTGAGAAATACACCTGGTATCAGTGCTAAAGTGTCGACGGACACAGAAGCACAGCAAGTCACGTGTATAGTGTTGGGAAAAAAATCAGCAAGTAAAAGCGACTGGAAACTCAGTAAGGGCAGTGTCACTGGGTGCAATCTTAAAGTACATGAGAGCACATCTGGTAAACCTGCTGACATACATGAGGTTGATATTGACGCACAAACTATGGCTGACCAGAAACCACTGGCAAACCACACTCAATCTGGATGCAAGCCCGAGAGTCCCACAGTAGAAACTGCAAGAAAGACCACAAAGCCTAGAGTCTCACTCCAGACTTCGACGTACCTCCCTCTCAATAAGTCTAATAAGCAACATGTCAGTCTAAAAAATGACAATGCATGGGTAACAAACCAAATTCCCAAAAACGTCGTCCATCATGTGAGTAAGAATACCCCTTCCCGATCTAGGAGTAATATGCCTAGCAACGCACATAACTTGGGAATGCAACGTAGAATGGATCATCAGGATATATGGAGCACTAAACGGGACTCATATAGGCACCATATTAATGAATATTCTCGTTCAAACTCTCACACTATCTTTGTTAAACCTCAACGACAAGATGAGTATAGATCGACACTTGACCCTCTCAATAACCTCACTCACACATGTGATGTAAGCCAATATGCATACGACTATGAAAGACCCATGAAATACAACTACCAAGGTAATCTTAACACAGTGTGCCTAGGTCAAGCAGACTATATATCAACAGTAAATGAACGCAGATGCCCACCCATGGATGCTAAAAGTCAAAACATGCAACAGGATTATTTTCGGATGCAGCAAACAATAGCCCCACTCGCTGCACAATTCATCCAGGAAATAGTACACACACTGACTCTGTCTCACCTCAGAGCCCCTCCAAACATAACGTAGGGAAAGTAACAAGTAACCATGTTAACCTCTCCTCCAATAACTCTGGTTTACTAACGATTATGCTCCTGAATGCTAGATCTCTCCTTAATAAAATAACATCGCCTCGCTGCCTGGCATACACAGAACGGCCAACACTATTGATGGTGACTGAAACCTGGCTTACTACTGATATACAGTTTACAGTTTACAATTTATTTAGGATAGTAGGCTATATGCCTGTGTTCATCCTTTCGATTTGTTACACAAAGGAGGTCCAATCTCGCCTTGAATGAATCAACGGATGGCGCTGATACGACGTGTTCCGGTAGGGAGTTCCAATGGTTCACAATCCGATGCGAAAAACGGATCTCCAAACGCAGACGATTCGACCGTGGTTTTTGAACCTTGAGGTGATGTCCTCGCAATTGGTTGGTGCTAGAAGGAAGAAATAAATTAGATAAATTTGCTCCAAAATCATTTCTTAGGATACGGTATGCTAGTATTAGGTCAGCCCTAAGTCGTCTGTATGACAGTGGAAATAAACCCAGTCGACTTAACCTCTCTTCATATGAGAGGGTTGAGAAACCTTTTATTAGCTTAGTTCCTACTCTTTGCACCCTTTCTAATAAGTCTATTTCGTATTTGAAACACGGGCTCGCTGCCTGGATCCCATATTCCAAATGAGGTCTGATATAAGTCGGATATAATATACGAAATATTTCAGCGTCAAAATTCGCAAAAGCTTTGCGTATGGCCCATAATATTCGAAAACCTTTAGTGGCTGCAGCTCTACAGTTTGTTGCTGTTTTCAAGTCATGCTGCACAACCACTCCCAAGTCCTTGTATTCAGTGACCACTGGAAGAGTAATGCCATTCATTGAGTAATTGTGCACGTGACTATGAGATACATGCATAACTACACTCTTGCTTAGGTTAATCTCCAAGGCCCAGTACTTACACCAGCCACTTAAGAAGTTTAAATCTTCCTGCAAAGCAAGTTGATCACTGTCATCGTGTAAAGCCCTCCATATCTTGATGTCGTCAGCAAACAGTAAGCAGGATGACCTAACTACCGATGGAATCTCATTAACATAAATCAGGAAAAGAAGTGGGCCTAGAATTGTACCCTGAGGAACGCCACTCCTAACCGATTCCCATGTTGATAAAACCCCGTTAACTCATACTCTTTGTCTTCTGTCCTTTAGAAAGTCTTGAATCCAGTCGGCAACCACTTTATTGATTCCCATATTACCTAACTTTACTAGAAGAAATGAATGAGAAACCCTGTCAAACGCCTTGCTAAGGTCGACGAATATGGCATCCACCGGTATATTAGCATCAGCTAAGCTTGCCCAACTTTCTCTATATACCTGACTCAAAGCTAGTAATAGACAAATACGACATCTATAGGAACGATAGAGTTGACAAAAGAGGAGGCGGCTGCTTAATATATGCCTCTAAATCCACTAACTCCAGTACTTTCAATAACCCAACTACTGACAAACTCCCTGAATCTAAGTGGATAAGCATCCACACAAACGAAAATAAAATTCTCGTGGGATGTATATACAGACCCCCTGATGGCCCTGAAATGACTGATATAACTATTGGAGAAATACTAGAGCATGTAGCTTCACTGGACTTTGACTACAAAGTAGTCTGTGGCGATTTCAACTTACCTGGAGTAAACTGGGATACCTGTACAGGACCTAGAACCCATGACGAGCTACTACAAGCTATAGACGTAGGCGGATGGAAGCAGTGCGTACGCCTCCCTACAAGAAATGAAAACACTCTTGACTTAATCCTTTGCCATGAAATAGAGCCCATCTCGATAGAGGTAGGAAATAAACTTGATAACAGTGATCACAACATATTGTACTGCACGCTACCCCTCCGACTAACAACTAAATACACACCTAAAATTTCCCCGGTGCACTATCAATGTAGGGACCATAAGAATGCCGATTGGGAATTCCTATCAGATATATTTAGAAGTTCTGACTGGGAAGAATACTTCATCAACAATAACTTAGAAGCATCACTTGAGGTTTTCTACAAAACAATTGGTTCAGCAAGAGACACAATCGCGCCCCTAAAATCTGCTCTAAAGACACCAACTCCATTTATAGACCGCAAAATGCGACTAAAACTAAAGAAATTGAAAAGGAAATACCATGTATTTAAGGAATTTAATGCGTTAAACCAAATACATGAAACTCTTAATCGGCTTGAAGATAAACACAAATTGAGGTCCTAACTTGAAGAAAATAAGGCGCTTGTGGGTAACTCCAAAACTCAGGAACTTTGTAGGATATTGCAGAAACGTCTAAAAAGCAGTGAAGACAATACTGTAAGCAGCTTGGAA